TATTAAGGGCCATGGTAGTCTTGACGTGAAGGATGAAAGTAGTGGACCTGCCTTTACTAGATTGGGGATCAGGTGGTCAATATGGCTTCATGGAGACTGGCTGCAGTGACTAGTTCCTCCAACCTGAGTGTCCTGTACTGATTACAGGAAGCAGTGTTGTCCGGGAGGCCACAGATAAGTGAGTACTTGAGGGAGGAATGTAGCTATCTAAACACTCAGGGTTAGGATGCCACATGTAGATGTACTCCCTGTCCATATGCCAGACTCCTGCTTCTCAAACACAATCCGTCACCCATCTTAAAGTCCTCCTCAGATCCAAACACAGCACTTAATGGCAGATACAATAATCTTAAATGCAACATTTAGCACCGTTATGCCTCACCTCAACACTTACTGGCAGTCTCACACTCAAGTAGCACATTATCTGAGAAAACAGTGAGCCAGCTTTCAGATAGCTTCCGGTATCCGGAGTAGTTTATCAACATTGTGTTAAGATTATTGCCCTGACCTGTTTGCCGTGAAGTGACATTCGGAAATAACATCAACACTTCTATCTCTGTTATCAGCAGCTGACGGAGGATTCTGGGCCTAGATTTTCGAAGATCTCTTACCGATAAGATAGTCGTAAGTGCCATACATTAACATTAACTTACGACTGTCTCAGCACTAAGAGAGCTTCGAAAATCTAGGCCCTGCTCATGAGCTCAACAACCAATGAAATGATGATCCCGAGACAGGCATATATAGACCTACGTTCAAAACTGCTGATGTGTATGAGCAAAGCCATGATATATTGAATTATATTTGAAGACTTTTATGTAGTAACGGGTATATTTTTTCCTTAGGAGTAAAATATTGGATGGGAAGACCTTTGGTGGCAGGAGTTACCAGTTTCTGTATGGTCAGTTTATGGTCAGCAGCAAGCATTAATGATCAACATGTTATTTTGGGGATTACACCTTTTTTAGTGAAGTACGACTTCTAGTATTCTTTTGGTGGAGCCAGCCAACAAAGTCACTAAGCACACAACTAATGGTTTCCTGCTTGTTTCAACAATAGAACCATACAGTTTAACTGAATTGGTGTTTTTAGCATCATTTCATTTGAGTCTGGCTGAAAATGAAGCTTGGAGGTAGCAGGTCTGGATCTTCATCATGACAGAACAGATTCGGTACCCATGAGCACCAGAATGATGTTAGAGTGATCAACAATCAGTCTCAATCCATGTAATGTTGTGGGATAAATCAATATTAAAATAGCCACGGTGTTGTTATTCACTTATTTGGATGGGAAAAGGCCATATGTCTTGTTAGTGTGTCCAATCTGGAGACTTGTTATATATTGATTCCTCCTCCTGGGATGCTGAGTAGCATCACTTAAAGTTTTGTGTTCTGGGTCCCCATCTGCAAAGTGTTCGTAGCGCTACGGGATTGGTAAGCCTATGACAAACTATAGAGGTATGACAGGTCGTAATGTTATGATTGCTTTGTGGTTCTGAACCATGGTCAGCATTTCTAATCAAGTTTGTTTATCACTTTAGATTTGAAAATGTGGCCAACCATTATTCAAATTTTGACAAATTGGAAAACCTCATTTTAGCAATGTAGCACGCGCTCAGGATCTGACAGATTGTCATGTGCACACAGCATGCTCAGCACGCTCAGGAGCTGACAGATTGTCATGTTCGCACAGCATACTCAGGATCTGACAGATTGTCATGTGCACACAGCGAGTTCAGCACGCTCAGGATCTGACAGATTGTCATGTGCACTCAGCATGCTCAGGATCTGACAGATTGTCATGTGCACACAGCACGCTCAGGATCTAACAGATTGTCATGTGCACACAGCACGCTCAGGATCTGACAGATTGTCATGTGCACACAGCACGCTCAGGATCTGGCAGATTGTCATGTGCACACAGCACGCTCAGGATCTGACAGATTGTCATGTGCACACAGCACGCTCAGGATCTGACAGATTGGTATGTGCACACAGCATGCTCAGGATCTGACAGATTGTCATGTGCACACAGCGCACACAACACGCTCAGGATCTGACAGATTGTCATGTGCACACAGCACGCTCAGGATCTGACAGATTGTCATGTGCACACAGCGCACACAGCATGCTCAGGATCTGACAGATTGTCATGTGCGCTCAGCACGCTCAGGATCTGACAGATTGTCATGTGCACACAGCACGCTCAGGATCTGACAGATTGTCATGTGCACACAGCATGCTCAGGATCTGACAGATTGTCATGTGCACACAGCACGCTCAGGATCTGACAGATTGTCATGTGTGCACAGCATGCTCAGGATCTGACAGATTGTCATGTGCACACAGCACGCTCACAGCACGCTCAGGATCTGACAGATTGTCATGTGGACAAAGCATGCTCAGGATCTGACAGATTGTCATGTGCACACAGCATGCTCAGATACGCTATGGGGGCCTAGTAACTATAGTGATGAAAGTGGCTCTGTGCAAAGTTGCGTTCTTGGGCATGCCAGGAACTGGTGTTGTTCTTGAAACCCACTTCTACATGATTATGTTTCCAGGTTTGTCAGCGATATACTTGGAGAAATGTAATAATGTAGTGGGCTAGTGTCCCAAGCACTGTTAAAACAATGCAGCTTCGGTCAGAGGGGCTGTAGCCTTGTACCTTAAACTGTGTGTGGATTCTGTCCTGAATATGGGAATTATTTGTCATGGTTTGCTATCAAGATTCCATTATATTCATGTGTCCCAATTGATCCAAGTACTGTTTCTTTCATATTACTGACAAAACAGAGCATTAATATCTCAATTCTGTCAAATTTCTATTGTTTATATTTTAAGTATAGTATTATGAAAGAATTGTATTGTCCGTCATTTAATGTGAGTAGTATATGTGAAGAACATCTGTTATTTAGATGTTACAGACGTGAGGCCAGACAGTGTGTGTAGGTGTATTGGACATACCTGAAGCAGCATGTGTCGTATATATCAGTCAGCAATATTCTAGCTAGATAATAGGATTCTATAAATAACCGAGTCAGACAATTCAGTCAATGACAGCATGAGCATCAGTCAACACAATTCGGATATGGATGGATCAACAAAAACACAGTCTGACCTCCCAGCCCTGCAGGCATATCAGACAAATTGATAAGGAATGCTATGCATTCATTGGTAACAGTCAGTTATCTCAGAGAGATTGTACGTCTGCTCCCGAGACTGAGGAACTCGTCACATGATGAAGGTTTTGTGCTATCCTATGGGGAACATTTACCCACAGATGAGCAGACGTGGGTTTTCTTCCAGGGTCTCTAATTGTGTGGTGGATATACTACAACTGCCGGCAGACATCTGCCTGGGATATATACACAGTGCAGGTGGTTGCAGGAATGTTGTTGTTGTCAGCGATGTTGTTGGCATGTTACCAGGGAAAAATATTTATGTCAGAAATATATCATGTCCATTAAATTTACAGCTGTACAGCATGTTTGTGAGACAAGAATTTTATAGAGTGGAGAAGCACTTAATGTAGCTTATGGTCTATCAACTCATTTGTACATGAGTTCATCATTTTCATGCTGGGAATTTGTTGGAGCTGTTTGGGAAGCATATCACTGATGTGACTGATGTAATGAAATTTTATGTTTTTGTTGCCAAGGGTTTATGAGAAAGCGGTTTACGATGACCCAATGTCAGAGCCTCTGTTTGAAATATCATTCCAAGGGTATGATCAAAAGTTTTCAGATGACAAGTGGAAATCATATTTAACAATTTCTCAAAGTTTATAGCTGGTAATGCTTGAAAAGATAAAAATGTTTACATTCCTTGTCAGGATCATTCCTTTTGAAGCAATGGGACATGGTTCAAGATTGTAGACCTGAAATATTTCCAGTCTATGAGGACTGCCATCACCTGTTTCTTACAATTGTCTTGACCTAGCGAAATAGCATTAAATTTAATTAATTTTCTTGACGGCTTGCTGTGTGTAGAGATGTGATAAAAAGTCAGTCAATTCTATATTCATTTATGGCCAAAAAAGATGTTTTAATAAAGGTTCAACCTCCTGTGAAAGTTTCAAACGTGAAAGCAGCTACAAACGCTGCTAACGGTAACAAAAAACATCGGCATTAAATTTCAATTCATGTTAACAACTCAGTTGGAGAAACAAATGGAAATTCTAAGTAATGAATGTGTTGTAACCTGATCTTGTTCAGTGGGGAGAATTGATGTCCGAAATGATTTTCAGCTATACTACTCAATTTTGATAGAGATAGGAAGTGTCAAGTCGGGTCTGAATGTAACTGGTTTCTGGGATATGTTGAAATTGGAGATTCAGTATTAGTTAATTAAACATTAAAACACAGTTAATAAGTAGTTGTGTTATGTGACAATATGAAATATGTTTGTATTCCTATCAGATATTGAGTGGTATATTTGATGAAGGGTAACAAGGATGAATAGTAACTGAGAGTTGTTCACATCAGAAATCACAATTAAAACCTACGGTATTGTTCCATTTAATCACATTGCAGGAATAATGTCAGAGAGAACGGAATGGATAGATGAGCTAGTCTTGAAAATTAATTGTCATACTATAGAGGGTTATTGAAGTTGACGACACATACTCCGGTTTGTGATGCCACCTTCCAATGGCCCATTATCCATGATTATTTGTGTGGGTGATACTACGATACTGGACGGGTCAGGTGATAGATGTTATTACTGTCATTACGGTGAGCAGTAATGTTCTTATTGCTGGGAGAGATGTTGACAATTGTCACCTTGCCCTTTAGGACATCATTACTTCTGTCCTTCACGAGTCTCACAGCTCGTTACCTGTCTGAAATGCTCCCTCTGTGATGTTCATTTCCTTATCGATGCCAATTTATCCTCCACAGATAATGTTGTGTTAAGGTATATTACCTGATAATCCCCCAAGCTGCTGCTATTGATGATCGATTTTCTCCGAGGCTGATCAAAGGTTGTTCTTCTTTACAGAGAGGAACGGCCATGTTCACTTTCCAGCTGAACAAGTGGTCACCCACGACAGTGAAATTCAGATCGTCCGTGAAGGAGACAGGTATGAAGTGCACCTCGGCTTCCTCCAGTTCCGACACTTGTACCAGGTGACGTTCTGTGTGAAAGACAGTCTGGGAGAGGACATTGAAGCTGATCCTCTACAGAATCTGCATGTCAGGATGGACACCTATCAGCCGACCGAGGATGGTGAGCAGAGTGACCATTATCTCAGTGATATAGTCCTAGTCCAGATGCTAGAAAAGTCACTATCTTTTAGGAACTCTCAGCAGTAGTAGAAGTGTTATCCAGTAATTAGTGTGACACGTCCCACCCTCCAGAAATTCTTGTTTGTAGTGAACTAGCCACAGAATGTTCAGGTTATTAAAAACAAACAAGGTTTACTCCACTCCTTGACCAACACAGCCCTCAAACAGTTTTGATCAAACTGGGGGGTTGGATGCAAGCTAGACTAACGCTTAGTCTCTGAATATATATAATTTTGATAGTAACAAACAAACCCATTTGAATTGAAAAGGAGCCCTAGGAAGACCAGAGATCCTACGTTTGCCCCATCTGTACAGTAATAACACTGTCTGCCCCAGGTCTCTGTACAGTAATGATAACACTACGTCTGCCCCCTTCTGTACAGCACCGATAACACTATGTCTGCCCCCTCTGTACAGCACTGATAACACTATGTCTGCCCCCTCTGTACAGCAATGATAACACTATGTCTGCCCCTCTCTGTACAGTCATGATAACACTACGTCTGCCCCCTCTGTACAGTAATAACACTGTCTGCCCCCCTCTGTACAGTAATGATAACACTACGTCTGCCCCTTCTGTACAGCACTGATAACACTACGCCTGCCCCCTCTGTACAGCAATGATAACACTGTGTCTGCCCCTCTGTACAGTAATGATAACACTATGTCTGCCCCTCTCTGTACAGCAATGATAACACTACATCTGCCCCCTCTGTACAGCAATGATAACACTATCTCTGCCCCCTCTGTACAGTAATGATAACACTACATCTGCCCCCACCGTACAGCAATGATAACACTATGTCTGCCCCCTCTGTACAGCAATGATAACACTACGTCTGCCCCCTCTCTATAGCAATGATAACACTACGTCTGCCCTCTCTGTACTGCAATGATAACACTATGTCTGCCCCTCTCTACAGCAATGATAACACTACATCTGCCCCTCTCTGTACAGCAATGATAACACTATGTCTGCCCCTCTGTACAGCACTGATAACACTATGTTTGCCCCCTCTGTACAGCACTGATAACACTATGTCTGCCCCTCTGTACAGCAATGATAACACTATGTCTGCCCCCCTCTGTACAGCACTGATAACACTATGTCTGCCCCCTCTGTACAGCACTGATAACACTATGTCTGCCCCCCTCTGTACAGCACTGATAACACTATGTCTGCCCCTCTGTACAGCAATGATAACACTATGTCTGCCCCCCTCTGTACAGCACTGATAACACTACGTCTGCCCCTCTGTACAGCAATGATAACACTATGTCTGCCCCTCTCTGTACAGCAATGATAACACTACATCTGCCCCCTCTGTACAGCAATGATAACACTATGTCTGCCCTCCTGTACAGCACTGATAACACTACGTCTGCCCCCTCTCTACAGCAATGATAACACTACGTCTGCCCCTCTCTGTACAGCAATGATAACACTACGTCTGCCCCCCTCTGTACAGCAATGATAACACTATGTCTGCCCCCTCTGTACAGCAATGATAACACTATGTCTGCCCCCTCTGTACAGCACTGATAACACTATGTCTGCCCCCCTCTGTACAGCACTGATAACACTATGTCTGCCCCCTCTGTACAGCACTGATAACACTATGTCTTTCCCCTCTGTACAGCACTGATAACACTATGTCTGCCCCCTCTGTACAGCAATGATAACACTATGTCTGCCCCCCTCTGTACAGCAATGATAACACTATGTCTGCCCCCTCTGTACAGCAATGATAACACTACGTCTGCCCCCTCTGTACAGCAATGATAACACTACGTCTGCCCCCTCTGTACAGCAATGATAACACTATGTCTGCCCCCCTCTGTACAGCAATGATAACACTATGTCTGCCCCCCTCTGTACAGCAATGATAACACTGTGTCTGCCCCTCTATGTAGAACAATGATAACGATCCATGGTTTTGATACACAGAAGCTGATTATTGCACTCAGATCAGGTGACCAACAATTCCTGCGTGTATGCTCACCACCATGACATGGATGTATGGCCTGGTTTGGTCAACTGAAATAACGAGTCTTTCATATGACATTAAGTAGCTTGAGAATGTATGATATTTCTCCTGCAAGAATGCTCACCTACAAGATGGACGACGTATGCTGTGTAGCGAGATCAATGTATTTGTATTAATCTTCACTGATCGTGCAGGCCGCTTATCGCATGTAAACAGACTTTTTCCAACTGTTATTCCAAAGGTCACTTCCAGTTCCTACTTGTTTCTCAAGATGTAAATGTGTACTTCTGAAATGTGAATATCTGAGTTGGCCCCGGGATGGGGCAGCTGGCTAAACATCACGTCGTGTGATGCTGTTATCTGGAAGAAGTGAGCCTGAATACATTGTCTTGTGTACAACACACGTGCACAGTTAAGCAAAGTTGATGTGGAAAATCTTTGGATTGGGACAATGTTTTACTGCCTTGCTTGTGTGAGTTTATAGGGTTTCAGTCCTGACTTTCACCACCAAGTTGTAGCACATTGTGTCGTCATGGGCAAGTGGCTTTATTTGAAATATGCCTCTGTTCACCAGCAGTGACTGGGTACCAGGTAGGATGAGATGGCAATGTGACTGTTAACCCTCCAGCACCCACAGGCAGCTTTGCTTGTATACTCTCCAGAGAGTTCATATTAACATGGGATGCACTTGATCCACAGACTGGGATAAATATAGTATGTGCTGTGATCCTATATATAGAGTTGTAGACATGCTATGTAACAGGTGTTGTTACACTTGTAGGTTTCTGCAGTGCTGAGGAATGTTAGAGGCAGGGTCACCAATAGGTTCACTCCCCGTCTGGTTCACTTGTTACCTCCCCTGTCTGTTAAAGGTTCAGTTCCCTTTAAGGTTCAAATTGCTTCACACCTTAAAGGGTGCATATAGTCAGCATAGCAGTTTTGCAGAATTACATACCTTTGGGCTTATTTAGTCTCAAATACTTTTATCAAATTTAAACTGAAAAACAGAACTAGAACGAAACAGATGATGAAAGATGACAGGCGAAACCATCCACTCCATAAATCCGTCTCTGAGGGATTTTCCTCACTGGGGTATAACAGGTTATGGATATAGTTTTAGGCTGTGTCTGTCCGTTCGTACGTCCATACAAATAGGAATATCTTAAGAACCGGTACATAATTTTCAAGGTCACGGCGACACTTTGAAGATTTCAGCATGTTTACCTGCATGTTAAGATTGTCAGCAAGATATATCAAGAACGGTTCACTGGATTTTCTTCATAGACTTTCAGGACTCCTCATGGATGTTTTTTGATAAGCAGTTTCTTATTACTATTTTTGCATATTTCATACACCATGACATTCATGTCAAGGTCAAAGTGAGTCTTGAAAATATTTGTGTGTTTGAACAACTACAGAGCAAGATATCAAGAGAGGTTGACTGGTCATGTGTTTGTTGTCATTCAACTTCATCTTAAACTACGACCTTCACTTTCATTACTTTTTAAGTTTGATTTGATAATTTGTAGCGGGGTATTATGTCACCTTAGTGACAATGCTTGTTAACGTGTAATTTCAGTGATCATGGTGATCGGGCTACTTGCTTATGCCCTGGATTTGTTAAGTCATTGCAGCCTTTTTCAATCTGCTCATCCATTTTATTACCATATCCACAACTGCTGTCAACTTCTGCCCCAACAACACTGACGATGGTTTCAGTTGACTGCTGTGTGGAATCTCGGACAGATGTTCATTATGTGGAACAGTGCCAAGGTGAAACAACTGGTTCATGATGCCCAAACATGTTGTCAGTGGTAGCTACCAATGGTTATTTGTTATTTTAATTGGTCACAAGGTCAAAATCAGAGGTTGTTTCATATGTTCAACGATGTATTGTTGGAGCATCAGATAGAGCCGAAACAGTACTGTATATTACCGTAGATAAGCCAAATTTTGAGGACCAAAAAAAGCAGTCTGTAGAAGGGGGTCAGCTTATCTATGGGTTACACTTTCGTCAAAAAAATGTCCAGGGGTAAGAAAACCACATTGTATCGCTTCGCTTGAACAAACAAGCAAGAGAAGATGACTTCATCAGTAAAGACGTCAATTTTGCAATTAAACATCACTAGACAAGATTATTTACCTTTTAAGTTCTAATTTGTTTTTGCTGGGCATTGTATTATTTGCAGGGATGAAGATTACTGTGTGTATTTGTCTTGAGCCGGAAATAGCAATCAGCTGTGCACACGTGTCTCGGTGATCTACCGGTCGTTGGTGATTTAGTTAAAACAAGCACAATAATATAACGGGATGAATTCTGATGCAGTGATCAGTAAAATATAATACATAAAAATGTTATTTAACCCAAAGAAATATATCCTAGCATTGTGTTATTTTAATTACAGTTTTTGCTCTATAAATGTAAAATATATATAATCAAAACTAACGTTATACGGACCCTCATGAACGTGGTAAGCGGAAGTTGTACGCACGTGGAATGAGGTGAAATATACATGCCATTTAAATAAACACATGTTTTAACCGATGTTGCTGTAAACTAGCAGTCCGTGGAAAACGAGGTGGTAATCAATTTGTGATTGTTGATGATATGATGTGAAATTGCTATCGTGGTTGGAGTGAAAACCGTACCCTCATGAACATGGTAAGCAGAAGTTGTACGCACATGGAATGGGGTAAAATAAGCAAGTCAGTTTGTTGATATGTGATCATCCACCTACAATATATGATATTTAGTGAAACAAAATAAATTATCCATTTTCTGTCAACTACACTTCCGTTTGAGGTGTGAGTAGACACAATATGATTGTGAATGCTTTGAATAATGTGGACCGAAGTTATAATTATCGGTAACTGCCAGTTGTCTGTGGTCTGAGTTTGCCGCGATTAGGACCCCATTGCGGGGGATCAGCTTATGTACGAAACATATCATTTT